TATATATATATATATATACACAGATCACACATCTGGTAACACCTCATGAGATTGTGCACATTATTTCCAACATTTGACCAAAACTCCATCCCCTCTTCAAAATTATACCGTTTGTTTCCTCAACACCCTAAAGTAGCATAAAACAATTTAATGTTCTCATCTTAGTTTATTTTTCCAGTTTAAGGTGTGATTGGATATATTAGGCATATCTTAAACATTTTAAAATTAGTTATGAAGTTTTATTATTGATAGCTTAAAAGAAAACACAGCATGAAAAAAATGTTGGTTACGATTTTTCTACTATAAATAATAAAACAGCCACAACATGAACATACTGCAGTGAATCAGTCTTTCCAAACGGCCGGCTCTTTATAATTAAAACATTTTACCGTTATTGTTTTTACATCATTTCACAAAGTCACTTCAAGGCATTTATACAGAATAAAACAGTTTAATTTACAAATATACAGTCTTGTTGAACTGATTTTACTTCAGTCAGTCAAATCCAGTTATTTAACATTTTATAACAGTCCTAATGCTCTCTGGAAACAAAAAGTAAAAAATAAATCTGAACTGTTGATTCATGTAAAGTCCTAGACAGAAAGTTCCAATAATTTGAATAATTTAAACCACAAATAAAACATTTACAAAAGCAATAAAAACAGGAAAACTAAGATTTTTTTAAAAAATCAGCAGCTGCAGTCGTCACAATTAGAACATCCTATGAATAATATTCAAGTCATGTAACTAAACAAACTAACAAAAAGACTTTAAAAACTTTCTGTTGTGTCATCTCAAAAATGTGATTTTGTTTAAAACAATAAATTAGGACACCCCAATATTAACTCAAACTTGTAGCAGCTTATTAGTCTAGTATGGGATTTAAAAAGATCTCAAAGCAACTTTAAAATCAAGTTGTTCTACTGTCCGGGAAAATGTCTGAGTGGACAACATTCAAAACAAGTACCAAGTTCACCCAAGTGCAGACTGCAAGATGCAAAAAGAGGTCTCCAAAATCACAAAAAGGTCTTGTGACCTAAAGCAAGCTCTTGCTTCTGATGTGAAGGTGCGCACTTTTACAATCAGACTGAATGGGAGCTATACATACATGGATAAAAACAGAATTTTAAAAATAATAATAATAATCTAATGTTTTTTTTGGACACCATAACAGAACACATGCATAAACCAAGTACATCATTCCAGAAGAATCTCATCCAAACTGTAGAACACGGAGGTGGGAGAGTCATGGTTTTTGGTTGCTTTGCTGCAACAAGACCTGGCCGGCTCACCATCATCATCAAACCCACCATGATCCTTGATTCTCGTGAGGTGTAAAATAAATAAATAAATAAATAAGTTGAACTCTCAATGAACATTTTAAAAGTTGAAGTCTCATCAGTGCTGCGAGGAGTGGGACAAACTTTCCTCAGACACCTGATACAGGATGTCTTAATTCTTCCCGAGTTAAAATATGCAAATTTTTTTCTAATCTTTTATTTAATCAGCAAAACAATGTGAACTTTTGTTTACCCAAAATTAAATCATTAACTTTCCAGAGATCAACAAAAACAAACATCAATATGTGAAGATTTCTTAAGACTGATTACACAGTATATCAGGGTGTCCTAACCTTTTCGCCACTAAAATCACATCTCACTGTACCATTCAAATAATAATAATAA